CTTTCTTTCTTTCTTTCTTTCTTTCTTTCTTTCTTTCTTTCTTTCTTCTTTCTTTCTTTCTTTTCTTTTCTTTTCTTTTCTCTGTGTAACCTTAGTTTTCCTGGACTCACTTGGTAGACCAGGCTGGCCTCGATCTCACAGTGATCTGCCTGCCTCTGCCTTCCTGAGCACTGGGATTACAGGCGTGCACCACCAGGCCGGGCTACTTTTCTGTCTTTTCATCCCCAGTGGTGACGGTGTGTAGTTTGTGTGGTTCAGTGTGCATTGTGCAGTATGCGGCATATGGTGTGTGCCATGTGCAGTGTGTGTGCTGTGCAGTGTGCCGTGTGTGCAGCGTGGCATACGCCGTGCTGAGTGTGTGCTGTGCAGTGTGTGCTGTGACATGTGCGGCGTGCAGTGGGTGGTGGATATTGTGTGTGTGCTGTGCAGTGTGCCGTGTGTATTGTGTGCTGTGCAGTCTAAGGTGTGTGCAGTGTTAGTTCATGCTGTGCAGTGTGATCCAGTTTTCAGCTTATAACGTTTATTTTCAGGCTCAGTAAATACTAAGATGAGTTATCTAATCTATTAAAGGCCTCTTTATTTCATACTTTATGCTAGACATTGATGGCGAAAAATGTGAATACTATTTGGCCAGTGCAGTAGATCCTGTTGGGAATATACAAAATACTCATATAATTGTTTTTGAAAGATTTATTTGAAACATGTATAAGTGTTTTTGCCCATGTTTATGTAAGTGAACCATGCTTGTGTCTGGTGCCTGTGGTGTCCTGAGAGTGCTAGGTCCTTTGGAACTAGAGTTATAGGTGGTTGAAAGCTGCTGTGTGGGTGCTGGAAATTGAGCCCAGGTCCCCCGGAAGAGCAACAAGTGTTCTTAACTGCTGAGCTCTCTCTCCAGCCGTATGTTAATTTTTTCATGTTAAAAAGCCTTAGTCTTACTGAGTGATATTTGAACATCCACCTTACTTCAAAAGGATAGCTCTCAAACCATTAATCTGGGGATATACTAGAATTTCATGTTTATCACATTTAGTGGACAGATTTTTGTCCCTGATGGCAGAAGTTACCTATCTTAAGTCTTTATGTATCTTTAAGTCCTTGAGGTAGGTACGTGAAGTAAATATTTCCTGATAAGGTTCATATTTATTTGAAATGATGTAATGGCTGTTGACTTCAGTACTACATGCATTAAAAATATGAACCACTTAATGTGTGTAGGCTTGCACTAATGACTAAAAACTAGGTAATGAACGCTTGTGGAATCCATAGTTATTATGAGTGAAATTGCAAATGTTAGCATGGCATTGTGGCTTTACATATGATTATTACAATGAGTTTCTTCTTGTAGAAAATTATTCAGGCTGCAGACTCCAATGCTGATTCAGGACTGAATTTTGAAGAATTTGTGCGGTACCTTCAAGACCACGAGAAGAAAATGAGACTGGCGTTCAAGAGTCTGGACAAGAATGAAGACGGTGTGTGCGTGTTTTATCCACAGTTAGCTTGAATTGAATAAGTGCTGGCACTAATGAGTACTTTTTCTAGCCTGTAATTTACTCCTACTCTCAGACCCCAGTTATTATCTAGCAATAATTTTTAAATGACTGACAATTCTATAATAGATGTCTTTGGGTTTCTATTGCTGTGATAAAACACCCTAACGAAAATCGGCTTGGGAGCAAAGAGCTTATTTCTTATTACACTTCCAGGTAACAGTCCATTACTAAGGAAATCTGGGCAGGAACTCAAGCAGGGAAGGAACTTGGAGGCAGGAACTGAGGCAGATGCCATGGAAGAGCACTGCTTACTGGCTTGTTCTTCTGGCTTGTTCAGTTTGCTTTCTTATATACCCAAGGACTTCCTGCCCGTGGATGCTGCTTCCTTCCACATCAATAATTAACCAAGAAAATGTCCCGTAGGCTTGTCTATAGGCCCATTGGATGGGGGCATTTTCTCAACTGAGGTTTTCTCTTAGATGACTCTAGCTTGTGTCAAATTGACAGTAAACTAGCTAGCAATAGGTCTTACAATTACCCCAAATCATACACACGTGCATGCATGTGTGCAAGCGTGCAAGCACACACACACACACACACACACACACACACACACACACACACACACGGTTTGTTTGTTTTGAGACTTAGGTTTGCCCTAATGACTAAAAGCTGTGTAATGAACACTAACGGAAACCACAATTATTAATGAAATATGCCAGTGTTAACATGGCATAGTGGCTTTATGTATGATTGTTGCAATGAGTTTCTTTTCTTTTATTGGAAAGTCTTGAGGTTGCAGATCTCACCGTGTAGTCCTCGCTGTCCTGGAACTTTCTATGTAGACCAGGCTGGTCTCGAACTCTTGGGAAGCTCACTGGCTCTGCTTCCTGAGTGCTGAGGAAAAGGTGTACACTATCATGTCTGGAACATTCATATACATGTATAAAATGAATGCTTTGCCTGCATTGTCTGTGCATCACATGTGTGACAAGTACACAGAAGCCAGAAGAGGCCACTGAATTCCCGAGGACTGCATTTATATGCAGTTCTGAGCCACCGTGAGGGTGCAGGGATTCTGGGTCCTTTGGAAGAGCAGCCAGAGCTCCTAACCCCCGAGTCATCTCTCTAGCCTAATGGTTCTCAACCTTCCTGCTGCAGCTCTTCAATACAGTTCCTCATGTTGTGGTGACCCCCAACCATAAAATTGTCTTCATTACTACTTTATAACTGTAATTTTGCTATTGTTATGAATCCCAGTGTAAATGTCCATGTTTTTCAGTGGTCTTAGGTGATCCCTGTGAAAGGGTCATTAACCCTATCCCAAAGGGGTTGTGACACCAGGTTGAGAACCACTGTTCTAAAATGTAATTTATTTATTTAAATGTAATTTATTCTTTTAAAATGTAATTTATTCACATTTTGAGATAGAGTCTCTCTGTGTAGCCCTAGCTGCCCTTGAACTCACTATGTAGTCCATGCTGGCTCAAGCTCACAGAGATTCATCTGCCTCTGCCTCCTGAATGCTGGGATTAAAGGTCTGTGTCACCCAATTTGATATCTTATATTTTAATAAAATCAGTTTTGCAGGGGGTCATATTCTCCGAACTTAAAGCTTTGTGTATTGGGTAGTCCTCTGTGTTTTTTTTTTTTGTTTTTTTTTTTTTGTAATAAATAAATGGATAATTTGGCAAGGAAGTTTAAAGAAATGATATTTGTGGCTGGCAAATGGCTTAGTGGGAGAAACTGCTTACCCTGCAAGCCAAGCACTCTGAGATGATCTGTGGAACTCACATAAAGAACAAGGAGAGAGCCACTCGTGAAAGTTGTTCTCTGACCTTCACAAGTGTGCTGTGGCACGTGTCCCCCAATGCGTGTGCGTGCACACACATAATGACAATATTGATGATATTGAAATATATATTGTTATTGAAATATATATTTGGTATTAAAAATGTATTTGTTTCAGGAAATTTAGGTAATTCAGACAAACTTTGAAAAGCAAATAAAAATTGTTTAGAATCCTGCAAGATACGTCCATTGACGTAATAGTTTCATGAATGTTATGGGACTGATTAACTACTTCTGACTGGATTTTAGTCCTGCTTCAAAGGAGAGAGTCATGTCTGGTACTGTGAACTTGTTTAAGAGCTGCTGGCTAAGAGATCATAGGGTCTCAAGGGAACCCACTATGCTTTCCTAAGTCAAAGCGTGGTCACCCTGCTTTTGAAATACACGTTTATGTTAACACCGCTCCCAGCCCGTGTCAGAGAAGCTGCTTACTGCAGTGGGCGTAGTGAATAGAGACTCATAACTGGCTGAATTGCCAAGAATAAGCGGTGGTGGAATGCTTAGCTGTAAATGATCCTCTATATTACCCGCTCCAAGACTCAAGGGGACATGGTGGAAGAGATAAGCAGAAAGAACAGATAGGCTGGAGGGTGGTGAGATGTGCTGAATGACATTGGTGTTATACTCATGAACTCACGATCACTGTGATCACTGTGCTCATCTGCACAAGAGCTGCATGTGATTAGGTCTGCCAAGCTTCCATCATGAGCCACCTCTCCTTTAGAGACTATGAGCAGTTAATGGTGATGGGGGAAGGGGAGGAAGAGGTGCCACTGTTTTCATCGATGTACTTCCTGATAAGCTCCAGAAAATAACCTACTCACAGAAAACCCTATTTAAGCTCAGCAGGCCACACAGAAAAGAAGACGTGGAGAGAGTGGAGGAAGTTTTGGGAAGAAAAATGGTTTCATTGGGAGATGGGGAATTAGAGAGGGCATAATGAGTTGCTGAAATTATTAAAATTGATCATGTGTACGTATGAAAGTGTTAAAAAAAGAGCTAACAAAAGTGATTGAAGGGAAAAAGGTTTATTGTGGCTCCTGGTTCAAGGGAGCCGTCCATCCAGGTGGGGAAGGCACACGGCAAGAGCTGGAGCAGTGGCTGGCTGAGAGGAGTGAGTTCTAGTGCTCTAGTGCTTTCTCTAGTTTCATTGTTTAGAACCCCAGCCAGGGCATGCCCACTGGGCAAGCTTTCTCTTCTCAGTTAATGCAGGTGGGATTACCCCCAAGTGTGCCTCAAGGGCATCTCCCACGTGATTCCAGAACCACCCCATCTGCTTTTTTGAGATCAATTTTTATATTTTGATCAATTTCATAATTCTGTATAGACTTTGTTTTTTTCTTGGTTTCTCTTTCTTTAGATGAAATTGCAGTTACATGTATAGTTTTGTGTCCTGGGTTTCTTAATGTTATGTTGTGTTTTCATTTCTTTTGCAAACATAATTTTTAGTGGTTGGGAAATATTCCAATTGTATGACTGTCCTGGAGGGAATGAAGATACTCTAAAGAGACACTTATGACCCCACTCCCTTTGGCTATTGGACTGTGGAAATAATGGCTCCCAGGACATTGGAATAACCTCAGGAGTGTTACATTGGGGGCTGGGGGAAGACTGGCTTGTTGATTCCAGACAGAAGGGGCGATTTTCTGGAAAGAGATCTCACACAGTTCTAACAATCTGTCATACTGCTGTAAAGGAGAGGCTGGAGCTGGGACAATGGTGATGGGTGCCCTTGACCAGGACTACTCCATTCTGCACACCTCTGCCTGTCTGTTTAAACCTGCACCGTGTGTAAAGGTTGCCTTGGTGGTGGTGTGTCACTAGACCTTGTTTTTCCTAGTATGGCCATGACAGCCCTTTTCTGGTTTTCACCATTGTATCGTTTTTGTTCTCTTAATTCTAATTTATTTTACTTTTTTGATTTGTGTACATATGTGTGCATGCACACACATACACATGTGATTGTGTGTGTATGTTTGTATGTGTGTGCACACATGCTTGCATGCATGGTCATGTACATGTGAGTGCATGTGCCCATGAAGGCCAGATGCTTCAGATGGCCTGAGGCTAGAGTTTTAGGCATTATGAATAGCCTGACATAGCTCCTGGGGACCAAATTTGGGTCCTCTGCAAGAGCTTTACACACTCTTAAGTATTATGCCATCTCTCCAACCTCATTTTGCTTTTAATTGGCTTTTTGAGAACAGGTAGCCCAGTGTGGCTTATTAGCCTGGCTGTGACCCTAATAGCTCTGGCAACAGTATGTGAATCATCTAATCATTCTTGTATTGTTAGACATTTAGGATAGTTCTGATCTTTTGAAAACAGTAGTGCATTCATTGTCAATGCAGGTTTGCAGACCTGATTATATTCTGGTTATAGATCTGGCCATTTGCTGGCCTAAGCTAGACATACTGTATTGCTGTTGTGGAATTTTACTCTATTCTTGACTGTCACCACCATGATTGTGTGTGAAGCTGAAGATCCATATGTAATTAATGAAGTTAAAATGCCTTTAGGAAAACACAGTGTTTCTGTTACCCCTGTTGTGATGATTAATCTTGGTTACCAACTTGAGTCAATTTGTAGTCTACTAAGAGACACACCTCTGGGCGAGTCTGTGAAGGTACTTTTTGGAAGGATTAACTGAGGGTGGGGTGGGATATGGGTGTGTGGTGCATGAGGGGGTTGGTGTATGGGTAGAGGGATGGGGGGATGCTCCTCTGGAGTGGGAGTGACTTTTCAGCAATGTCTCTATAAAGGGGTCTGAGGTAAAAGAAATTTTATTTTTGCCTGCCTACTTTTGCTCCTTACGTGTGAATTCATCTAATCTTGTTATTGCTTCGGCTACTACCATCCTTTCCTGATGTTGGAACTCAACTTCTTTGGACTTTGTAATGATTTGAATGAGAATGGCCCCTACAAGGTTTATATGTGTAAATTCTTGGTGCCCAGTTGGTTTAAGTATTTGGGAAGGATTAGGAGGTGTGGCCTGGTTGGAGAAGGTATGTTACTGGTTATGGGCTTTACATTTTAAAAGACTTGCCTCATTCCTAGTGAGCTCTCTGCTTACTTGTGGATCAGTTGTGAGCTCTCAGCTATTCTTGCCACCATGCTTTGCTCCACTA